GGAAAAGTTATTAATGCAATGGAAAGTAAAACATAAACACCAAACTCTTTCATAATGAGTTTATTTTCTATAATTTATAGCGTAGGTAATGGGATCATTTTGCAAAGACAGGGCCTAGAGGAGAATAAAGGAGGTGATTATGATCATTAGAGGTGGCTTCAAGGGACCAACAGATAGCACTATGGACAAACAGAATACATAACACAAAAATGCTTTTCTTTGGGGGCAGTCAAAACACATAAATGTAGGTTGCTCAGTCACTAAAACAGATTGACTTGGCTGTTCTAACTGCCACACAGAAAGGAAGACAGAGAGGGTGATGGGGGAGAGTGATTGCTCCTCAAACAGAGAGTGATTTAACACCACCACTGGCTATGTGACAGATAAACTAATTTGCCCAAATCACTAAGCTTGGGTTTTTCCACCCACATTAATTTGGTTGCTTGCACATGACAACAGCATCATTTGTTGATGACAGGATTCAAAGACCTGGGCATTGCAGCTAGCAAGAGAACACAAACAACTCAAGGCAGGACACTACAGCCAGTTCAGCAGCTTTAGCTCCTTCAGTGACCACAAGGGCAGGGGAGCCCGTGGCTGCCTTCAGGGCTTGATGTGGTGTTGGATCAAACTATTAATACATTTAAACCTTTTACCTAAACTTCTGGTATTCCTTCCATCTCAAATCTTTGGAAGCCATTGAATGTGACGGAAATGTGGTCTTGTGGCCAAAATAGCAGTCTGGAGCCTGTGGCTGGCTGGTTTTATTTTTAGGATTATAGGAGACCTCCATCAAGCCTCTTTCTTTTATTCTGAACCTCAGTTTCCCACATGTAGGAAGGAGAGGCCATAGCAACTTAGGCAATGGCAGAAACCTGGGCTTCGTGGTCAAATGGGCCAAGATTTGAGCCTCAGCTTCAGCACCTCCTAGTTATATGACTTTTAGTAAGTTACTTCTTTGAGGCTTGCTTTTCCCATCTACAATATAGGAATAATAATAAATACCTACTTATTTCATGACTTCATTCATTCAACATCGACTGAGTGCCTCCTATGCACCAGGCAATATCCTAGCTCTAAGCCCACGAAGGTAAGTGAAATAGACATAGCTCCTGTCCTCACAGAGCTTAGGGTCCATTGCGAGAAATAAGCATTAATGACAGACACAAAGCACTTAGTACTATGCCTGGCTTTTAACAGGTACTGAATGAGTGTTTTGAGTTGACCAGAAATTTAATTATTGAAATCCACTAGCATTTTGATATACATTAATTCCATTTTCATTGATCCCATTCCTAACTCAGGGCCTTGGCACATGTTGCTTTGTCTGGGTTCATTCCTCAGCTATTCACATGGCTCCCTCTCTCACTTTTTCATATCTGTATTCAAATGTCACCTCCTCAGAGGGGCCACACCTAACCCCCTATTGAAGTAGCCCTCTCACCTTTATCACACTATATCCTCTTATCTTGCTTTAAACACATTCTTGATAGGTTTAAAAAAACATCTATTCATGATACATACCTCTTAGATTTAGGGCAAATTTTTGTGCAAAAATCTCTATCGTATTTTTAAAAGGTAGATTCGAAGACACTTTACAATAAAAAATATAAGAATGGCCAATATGCCAATATGCACACAAAAAGAGGCCCAGCATCACTAGTCATGAGGGAACTTTAAAAAGGTTGCTACTACTTAGTGTTGGCAAGGATGTGGAACAACTGGGACACTCACACACTGCTGATGGGAATGCAAACTGTGAAGCTACTGTAGAAAACACTTTGGCAGTTTCTGACACAGTTAAACTATATATAATACATACCATGTAATCCAGCAATCTCACTCTTAGATATTTACCTAAGAGAATTGAAAACATACGTATGTATAAGGACTTATATATGAATGTTCATGGCAGCATTATTCATAATAGCCAAAAACTGGTAACAACTATCAACTGATGAATGGATAAACAAAGTGTGATATATCCATACAATGGAATAGTACTAAGCAATAGAAAGGAATGAGCTACTGCTACATGCTGCAACATGAATGAATCTCAGAAACATCATGCTATGTGAAAGAAGCCAGACTCAAGGCTATATACTATCTGATTCTATGGACATGGCATTCTGAAATTAGATGGGTAGTTTCCTGGATACAGGAGCAGGGAGAGGATAAACTATAAATTGGCACTTTTTAGGATGATGGAAATATCTTCAGTGTGGTGGTGGCTACACAACTGTATACAATTGCTAAAACTCATCGAACTGTACTCTTTTTTTTTTTTTTTTTTTTTTTTTGAGTCTCACTCTGTTGACCAGGCTAGAGTGCTGTGGCATCAGCCTAGCTCACAGCAACCTCCAACTCCTGGGCTCAAGCAATCCTCCTGCCTCAGCCTCCCAAGTAGCTGGGACTACAGGCACACACCACCATGCCTGGCTAATGTTTTCTATTTTTAGGTGTTTGGCTAATTTTCTTTCTATTTATAGTAGAGACAGGGGCTCGCTCTTGCTCAGGCTGGTCTCGAATTCCTGAGCTCAAGCAATCCTCCCACCTCATCCTCCCAGAGTGCTAGGATTACTGATGTGAGCCACCGCACCTGGCCTGTACTCTTAAAATTGGTGAATTTTATCACATGTTAATTATGCCTTTAATAAAGCTGTTACAAAAAATTTAAATATATAGATACTTATGCATAGAGAACGACTCTATACTTATCTCTCATGGTGGGATTGGGGTGCTTTTCATTTTCTTGTCTTTGCAGAGAGAGAAAAAACACAATAAAATGCCATAAACATAAATAATTGGGTTATTCAACAAGGAATCTCTTGTCGATTCAACATTGTTTGCTTGTAATGCAGCCATTTGGGTCACCTCGTTCTCATCTGTCTTTCCTCAGTGGCACTTATGAGGGGTGAGCTGAGGAAACGGATGCAATAAGGTACAGAGCTTAATAGCAATGCCTTGTCCATCCAGCCCTCGGTTTGGCTCTGACCTTGATTTTTGGATGAATACACAGTAGACTAATGGTAGGGGACTCTCATCCTACTTTGCCAACCCCGCCTTCCATTCCAACCCAGATCAACTCATGCGTCCTCCAGGCCCCAGAGAAAGTCTTCAGCACAGGGCTGGGCAGACTGTGGTTTGTGGGGTCCAGGCTGGGCACCCGCCTCTGGCTCACATTGGTCTGCTGGGTGCTGCGTGGTCTTGGTGAAGTCAAGAGGCCATTCATCAGTGGAGACCCGCGATGAGAACAACTGCTCATGCTACACACAGCCGGACACGGAGTCTCTCCAAGAGCCCCTCTGGGGGGGGGGTACTCAGTGTCAACAGGCCTCTGGCCCTTTTCCCCTATCACACACATCCAGTTCATCTCCGAACTTTCCACTTGCGAAAGGGCAGTCACCTTAAGAGACCTCGCCAACCCGTAGGCAGAGGATGGCACACCAGAAGTCCACATTGCTTGCACTAGAATGCCATGGCTGCACGAGGCCCCCGACAGGGTCCACGTGTCAGGACACAGGAATCCAGTGAGGATAATAGAGCTATAATTATAAAAAATAGCTTCATAAAAATATCCCATGTGGAGGTAATACACAATTTTATAGCCACTCTACTCAAGAAGTATAGCCCAGCAGAGAGGCTCAGAGCAGTTGGGGTGGGCACAAGGGAGTCACTGCTATCCTTGAGCCTCTGCTTTGTCACCCACAAATGATAAGTTGGGAGAGACCCCAAGTTCCCAACTTTGGGTCTCTGTCCTCAGGGTTCACACAGGCACTATTTTCAGGAACTACTTTTAGTTACCTAAAAATTCCATACATTACTCACAATAGCCAAAAGGTGAAAAAACCCAAGTGTCCATTGACAGATGAATGGATAAGCAAAATGTCCATACAATGGAATATTATTCAGCCTTTGAAAGCAAGGAAATAATTTTAGACATAGGGTCTCTCCTTGTCACCTAGGCTAGTGTGCAGTGGTGTGATCATAGCTCAAGCAATTACCCTCCTGCCTCAGCCTCCTGAGTAGCTGGGACTACAGGTATACACCACCACACCCAGCTGATTAAAATTTTTTGTAGAGATGGGGTCTCACCATGTTGCCTAGGCTGGTCTCAAGCTCCTGGGCTCAAGCGATCCTCTTGCTGTGGCTTCCCAAAACACAGGGATTACAGGTGTGAGCCACTGCACCCATCTCTGAGGAAGGAAATTCTGACACATGCTACAACATGGATGAACCTTGAAGACATCATGCTAAGTGAAATAAACTAGTCACAAAATAATAAGTACTGCATGATTCCCCATGTGTATGAGGTACCTGGAGTAGTCAAAATCAGAGACAGAAAGTAGAATGGTGGGCACCAGGGGCTGGCAGGAGGGGGAGTGGGGTGATACTGTTTAATGAGTACGGAGTTGCAGTTGGAATGATAAAAAAGTTCTGGAAATGGATAGTGGTAATGGTTACACAACAACGTGAATGTATTTAATGCCACGGACCTGTACACTTAAAAATGGTTAAAATGGTCAATTTTATGTTGTGTATATTTTATTATATCCACAAAGAAACAGACTTACTCCCCACATACCCACGAGGCCTCACTACTTCATTAAAGCATCGGGTCATGCCTTCATTCAGATGAAGTCTCTGAATGGGCAGGTACAGCCTGATTGATTTTTTTTTTTTTTTTTTGAGACATAGTCTCACACTGTTGCCCAGGCTAGAGTGCTGTGGCGTCAGCCTCACTCACAGCAACCTCAAACTCCTGCGCTCAAGCAATCCTCTGCCTCAGCCTCCCTAGTAGTTGGGACTACAGGCATGTGCTACCATGCCCGGCTAATTTTTTTTCCTCTATATTTTTAGTTGTCCAGCTAATTTCCTTAGCTGTAGAGACGGGGTCTCGCTCTTGTTCAGGCTAGTCTCGAACTCCTGAGCTCAAGGGATCAGCCCGCCTTGGCCTCCCAGAGTGCTAGGATTATAGGCGTGAGCCACCACGCCCGGCTCTGATTTTTTTAAAAGAAATAAAAATAACAGCAAAATATCTGAATTGTGACCTATGCAGTTTTTTTGGCAGTTATCACCTTTCAAAGCATGGCATCTTTGGGGGTAATTAAACAAAGGGGCATGATGGAAAGGTTGGCTTGGGTGAGTGCCTTGGTCCTATCCCAGTCCCCCCACCCCCAAAGCCTGTGACTTTGTGCCGCGGGAGTCCATGCTAAAGGAGAAACACACTCCAGAGGAGAGAACAGATGGTGTCTTCAGACAACTCCTACCCAGCCACAGGGACAGGCATTTTAGGTTTGAGATAGTCCTTTTTCTAGCCTATATTTGGAGCCTAGAGTCAGAATTCTTCCCTATTCCCTATTCTAAATAGCTGGGAACACTCGGGCCTACGTGACACATGACACTGATACAGCACCAGAAAGGCGTGGCACCAGCTAATACCACTGAGGGGCAGGATGGCAACCCTCTCTGAGACCCTCATCCATCACCCCAGACTCCTGAAAGAGGACAGTGTCATAATAGACCTTGGCAGCCTGCTCAGCACACGGGTATAGACAATATACACAGAACAGCTCAGGGTGGAAATTACAAGAGTAAACACAAAAGACTCTCATTTCCCAGACCAAGAGCCTGGGCGGCAGGATTCTGGGCCTATGAGTGTTCTGATTCACCATTAGGCAAAAAACTTTTGGGGGCATTTCCAGCTCTCCTCCCCGCCATGCCCACCTTCCTTGAAAAGCAGCATGCAGCGTGGGAAGAACAGACCACAAATCTAATCCAAATCCTGCCCCTCGGTGGCCCTGTGACCTTGGCACTCAGTTACTTTGTGAAATGGCAAGAACAACACCTCTTTCAATCTCATTAGTATGGATCAAATGAGACAGTGTCTGGGGATATGCTTGGAGAATGTATTGTGCTACTGCTTTGGAATTTTCTTCTGCTCCTGTACTTGGAACTTAAACAGGGCTGTCATTGTGTGTCAATTAGGAAACAATCAGAGCCTCAGAGCCCTGACCCCTGGAAATGTTTCTTTTTTGTTCACTAAATGTTTAGCAGCACAATAATTTCTACAGAGGTGAGGAGGAAAATGTCCAGTTAACTGCAGATGACTGGGGCTGTGCAAGGATCACACAAGGCGATCCCATTTTCTCCCATCTCCTGGAGAGAAGCCTCATTTCTTTAAGGTGATGCAGGTTTGCTGGATGAAAGAGCAAATCAGGGATCACCTGGTCCCCATCCTCTTTTGGGTACACGAGTTATCCGCACTGGGGGAGTGTTTAGTGTGTGTCTTTCACGAATCCCCAGAGGGCACCCTGGCTACAGCTTTGGTTGGCGGTCTTCTCCCTCTTGGTGATCTTCTCCTTCGCAGGGAGCCTGGAGGGGAGAGGCCTTGGGGAAGGCTTTGTACTTGCAGCTCCAGTGAGCAAATGCGTTTCCAAAGGCGAGACGCCGGTACTCTGCTTTCCCTTCCTCCTTGTCCATGAGTCAATAAACAGACACCTCCATATGGCCTTGCAGCTGCCTGTCACATGGTGAGTTCTTGCCAAGGCCTGGGTGGTGAAGGTGGGAGGGAGTCCCCTCCTCCCTTCTCTAGCTCAGACCCAGAGCGCAAGGCCTAGATGACCCTGCAGCTGAAGCAGGGTTCCCCAGGATTCCTTCTGAAGCTGCTCAGCTGTGACAGCCTGGAAGAGAATGGCCCTGGACTTTTCTTGGAACAAAGGAGACAAATCAACATATTAAAGCTGGCAGGAGGGGCACACCTTGTCCTCCTAGGAAAGGGACAAGGGGAGGGGCTTCGGTAACAGAACAAAAGAGACCCCACCGCATGGACTCAAAGCATCAAAGGACAGATGGGCTTTGTTTTTAAACTCTTCCCAGCTGCCTAACTAGGATCTACACAGTTCACTATGCTCTACCTTAACGGGCCCTTTTGGAGCCAGCTGGAGATGGCAAAATCCAGACAGGAGTTAGTCTCACAGGCTCGCATGAGATTCCAGCTAAAGACCTTGGGCTCCTCACCTCGCCTCTCCAGGCTTGTTTTTGCATCTGTAGAAGGGGAATAAGAAAACCTATTTCCATTCCATAGAGGCAGTACTAATAAAAAAAAAAAAAAAAGAAAAGAAAACCTATTTCCAAAGCATTCAGCGAATCTAATGAGATGATGTTTGTCTACCACACAGAAGGGACACGCCAGAGAGTCCTCCGCCTATCTGCCTCTATCTGAGGGTGAAGGTGTCCCCAGCGGCTGCCCGCTGCCTTATTTTGGAGAGGGACGCACCATGCATCCTTTTCTCTAACCCCACACCACACTGCTATCGCGTCCAGGTGTTGCCTGCCCGCTCAGGCCTGCCCTCCCTGGACCACGTCAGATGTCCCAGGCCGGCATGGTGAGGGGCAGATGGGAGCAGCCAGCACCCTCCGCCGGCAAGCCATGGTGGGCCACCCGCCCGTGTCGCAGCGGGAGGCGGCCGGGCCTGGGGGCCCCGCTGCTGGGCCCCGACTCCGAGGGCAGGCCCGAGTCGCTGGGCTGCACCTCCACGAAGACCCGGCGGCGCAGGAGCCGGCCGGGCCGCTCGGAGTAGGCCTGCCGGTGGCTGCCCCAGGGCGGCAGGCAGAGCTGGGCGCGGAAGGCGGCCTGGAAGCCGCGGCGGAAGTTCTCGTTGAAGTAGCCGTAGATGATGGGGTTGGCGCTGCTGTTGAAGAAGGCCAGCCAGTGCGCGAAGGGGAAGGCGTACACGGTGACCAGGTGCAGCTGCGGCGCGCTGAGCTGCCCGTAGTCGGTGAGCAGCAGCAGCGCCCAGAGCGGCAGCCAGGACAGCGTGAAGAAGAGCGCGACCATGACCAGCATGTGCACCACCCGCGCCTTGCGCCGCGCCGCGCGCCGGCCGCCCGCCGCCGCCTCCTCGCCGGCCTGCGCGGGGCCCGGCGCCTGGCACAGCTTGCGGGCGATGCGCGCGTACATGACCACGATGAGCGCCAGCGGCGCCAGGTAGATGTGCGAGAAGAGCACGGTGGTGTAGACCTTGCGCATGCCCTTCTCGGGCCAGGCCTCCCAGCACGAGTACAGCGGGTAGGAGCGGTTGCGCGCGTCCACCATGAAGTGGTGCTCCTCGCGCGTGACGGTCAGGGTGACGGCCGAGGGACACATGATGAGCAGCGCCAGGGCCCAGATGACCGCGATGGTGACCAGCGCCTTCCGCAGGGTCAGCTTCTCGCGGAAAGGGTGCACGATGCAGCGGAACCTGCGGCAGGGGGAGAGGCAGGGTCTGGGCGGGGCGGGCCCTGCCTCGCATCCCCGCGGCTCACTCGACCGCTCGAGCGACAGTCGGGCTCTTTGGTATGCAAATTGGTTTCTCACCTGTGTGGGAGGCAGCTCATCCGGAACAAAGGCAACGACAGGCTTCATGAGAGAGGGGGGGAGGCTACAGATAAGCGTGGGAACAATTAATCCTGTTTGTGCTCCTTTGGGGGCAAACTGATTAGCTAGCAGCTAGCAGAGCACTCGGGCTGCACAGTCTGTCCCTGAGCCAATTCGGTGTATCAAAGAACACAATTTCTGGCTGTTGATGGATTCTCCAGAAAACTTCAGGAGGTCAGATGTGGAGCCTACATGACAAGCTGTCCCTCTGTCATCTTGGCCAAAGTCCTTCTTGTAAGTATCTCCACCATGTAAGGACAAGTCGGTACCATTTATTTCCTCATAAGGATGTCTCAGCAGCAATTCTTACACCCTTGAATTACAGATGAGGAAACTGGGACTCAGAGGCATCACCACTTAGCAAGAAACCTATTTGTCTTGCTCCACTGTGCCACATAGACCAGTAGGTATAAACCCTTCCTGTGCATTAGACTCTACTGAAGCATTAAAAACACACACACACACACAAAAAACTGTGCTTTATTTCTTAGGGCCAAAGTTTCTAATTGAATTAGTCTAGGGAGGGGTTTTAGTACTGATTTTTTTGAAAAAGTTCCTGGAGTGCAGAGTTGAGAACTGCTGCTATCTGTAGGTGGAGGTGGAGCCTCCCCCTGGCAGTGTGATTCAAAGGCAATCGCTCAACTGCAAGTTCTTTGAGAACAGGTGCCAAGTGACTTTTCTTCTCAGTATTCCTGGGAGGGGTTTATGCATCAATGCATGAACAACCAGAAGGGCACATTACTCAAAAATTTTTCTGAGTCTCAGTTTCCTCATCTGTAAAATGGGGCCAATAATAATATGACTTACTCTGTAGGGTGGTTGAGAAGATTAAGTGAGGCTACATTTACCACACTTTTTGAGACATTTTGAATGCTTGACAATGAGGAAAAGGATGGGCTCCTACTTCCCAGAATATCTTTCCTCATCTACTGATGCCGGAAATAGAAGACTATCTAGGGAAGCTTACTTGTTTAATGGAGAGGGAATCTGGCCCAGAGAGGGAAAGGGACTTTCTTATGGTCACGTGGCTATTTTAGGGTCAGAACCTTCTCTAGAACATAGGTCTAGAGCTGACTCCAAGTCTAGTGCCCTTTCCACTTCTCTAAGCTGTGTCCTGCCCTCCTGCCTACCTACTCTTTCCTTGGCCTGACAGCACCCTTTACCTCTCCCATGGCCTGACTCAAGCCTCGCAGTCTCAACCTGTATGCCTTTGACCTACTGGCTTCATAGCAGCACATACTTGAGAACTCTCCAGAGAACAAATACTTCTTAAAGCAAGGAGTATTGGCTATAAGTGCAATAGCAGTTAATGGATGGAGGAGAATCCTGGGGTAGTCCAGGAAGGCTTCCTGGAGGAAGTGGGTCTTGAAGAATATTGCAGACACCACTAGGAGAGGTTGCAAGCTCTCATATCATTCAATGATGATAACAAAGGTCAGTGAAGGGGAGGGACTTCCCCCCATCATCCAGCTAATTAGCGGCCTTGTGGACAGAGGAACCCAGTGCCATCATCCCAGCTGCCTACTTCACTGGGATACAAAAAATACCGGGTTCTAGGAGGGCAGAGGTGGAGACTCCAGAAAGGGCGGGGCTACGAAGTGCCCATGTTGGGGAGAGGACAGGGATATTTTTCTTTTTTTTGAGACAGAGTCTGGCTTTGTTGCCCAGGCTAGAGTGAGTGCCATGGCACCAGCCTAGCTCACAGCAACCTCAAACTCCTGGGCTCAAGCAATCCTCCTGCCTCAGCCTCCCGAGTAGCTGGGACTACAGGCATGCACCACCATGCCCGGCTAATTTTTTCTATATGTTTTTAGTTGGCCAATTAATTTCTTTCTATTTATAGTAGAGATGGGGTCTCGCTCTTGCTCAGGCTGGTTTCGAACTCCTGACCTCGAGCAATCGGCCTGCCTCGGCCTCCCAGAGTGCTAGGATTACAGGCGTGAGCCGCCGGCACCTGGCCTATTTCCTAATTCTTGAGAGGGTTTAGATGACACCCCAGTAGCAACGAGCACACCTAGAACCCAGATCTTGGTTTCTAAATACCATTCTCCAATAAAAAGAACTCCAATAAGGAATAAAAATCATTCCTTAGAGAAACCATTAATACAGAGATGGAACAGGAAAAATACATGATGATCCTGGAACATTTTGTGGTGCCAGAAAGTAAAGAAATACTCAAAAAAACCAATCATGGCAGCATGTTGGAAGAATACCAGAGTCAATTGGAAATAGCCAAAACAAGGGCAATTTAAACAACAAAACAAATAATGGTAATATTGGATGATAATGCATACAGTAGCATCCCAATGAATAAATGTTGAAAGAATGATGTAAGTAGAAGATCATCATTGAGGAATACAACAATAATAATTGTCATAGGCAACTGTCATATGTAAGAATCATCAACAGATACTGAAATTAGTGGGCAAAAATATAATGAGTAGGCCGGGCGCTGTGGCTCACGCCTGTAATCCTAGCTCTTGAGAGGCCGAGGCAGGCGGATTGCTCAAGGTCAGGAGTTCGAAACCAGCCTGAGCAAGAGCGAGACCCTGTCTCTACTATAATAGAAAGAAATTAATTGGCCACTGATAGTATATATAAAAATTAGCGGCATCGGTGGCGCGATGCCTGTAGTCCCAGCTACCGGGAGGCTGAGGCAGAAGGATCACTCGAGCCCAGGAGTTTGAGGTTGCTGTGAGCTAGCTGACGCCCACGCACCCTCACCTCTAGCCTGGGCAACAAAGCGAGACTCTGTCTCAAAAAAAAAAAAAAATATAAAAAAATATAATGAGTAAAAAGACATTTGTGTAGTCTCAAAGCATCACCTCATAAGATACTTACAAATTGTAAAGGGAAAAATGTTTACAGCACACCCAAATTGCACAACATTCTGTAAAATAACTGATCAGTACTCTTCAAACACGTCAAGGTCATGAGAGACAAAGACCAAGGACCTCTCACAGACTGGAGGAAACTAAGAAAAATAACTATTAAATACAGTGTGTCATCCTGGGTTTTTGGACATGGACATTTGTGGGAAAAGTAGTGAAATTCACATCAAGTCTGCAGGTTAGTTAATAGTGTCATGTCAATGCTAATTTTCTGCTTTTTATCACCACATTATGGTTATTCAAGATATTAACATTAGGAGAAGGTAGATGTAAAGGAAATCTCTGTACCAGTTTTGCAACTTTTCTTTAAATCTAAAATTATTTCAAAATAAAAAGGAAAAGTCCACCAGACTCAAAAGGCTACATACTGTATGATTCCATTTATGTGACATTCTTGTAAAGGCAAAACTATACTTTCTGTCCCTACAAAAAATAGATCCACGGTGCCAGGGGGTGGAGGGAGGGGCCAACTACAAAGGGACAAAGGGGAGCTTTTTTGTAGTGATGAAATTGTTTTGTTTTGTTTTTTTTTTTGAGACACAGTTTCGCTTTGTTGTCCAGGCTAGAGTGAGTGCTGTGGCATCAGCCTAGCTCACAGCAAATTCAAACTCCTGAGCTCAAGCAATCTGCTCCTCAGCTCCTGAGTAGCTGGGACTACAGCATGTGCCACCATGCCGGCTAATTTTTTCTATATATATATTGGCCAATTAATTCTTTCATTTATATTCAGATGGGCTCGCCCTTGTTCAGGCTGGTTCGACTCTTGACCTTGAGCAATCCGCCCCTCGGCTCCGCCAGAGTGGGCGCTATATTACAGGCGGTGAGCCACGTGCCCGGCGCTGATGAAATTTGTTTTAAAACTCTTTCTCCTCCTGCCCAGCCTCCTGAGTGCTGGGGCACAACATGCACCACCACATCTGCTATTTTAAATTCTTTTGTGTGAATTGGCGTCTCCCTATATTGTGGCCCAGGCTAGTCTTCCAACTCTTGGGCTCAAGTGATCAACTCACAACCTGTGCATAGCCAAAGTGCTAGAGATATACAAGACATGAGCCACTGCGCCCAGGCCTTCTAATCTTGATTGTGTTAGCTACATGAAATAGATATGTGTGTCATCAAAACACTTGATGGACTAGATCACTAAAATAGGTGGATTATAAATCAAAGAAAAAAAAAAATAAAACATTATGTTAAATATACAGCTTAACAAGACGAGTATTGTAAAATGCAATAACAAATGTCGCACCATATCCCATGACAATTATTCTTAGAACGCATACAAACAAGAACAAGACACAAATTAAATAAAGAATGACTGTTCGCGGATCAGAAGTGAGAGATGATGAGTGGGTACGGCGTATAGGATAAGGAGATAAATAAATCAACAACAAAATAAACAGAGGCCTCCCAAGAGACGTTAAGTCAGCATAGTCATGAACGTGGACATGATAATTCAACCTCTGCACCTGACGAAGGAAAGAAAGAAAAAAAAGGAAAGAAAGAAAGAAAGTAAGAGGAGAAGGAAAGAAAAAAGAAGAGTTGTATGAAAGTTTTCATTTAATTGCAGAAACTTCTATTAGAAACAAGCTAACATCCATCAAAATAATTATAGTATACTTCCATACAATAGAATTCTAAACAGTCAACTAAAAGAATGAGAAACCTCTTATCTTATTAATGGAATAACATGAAGTTGATTTAATGAATCATTTAAAACATACATCGATAATATTTTAACGGGGTGGGGATAAGGTACGAATGACTGGGAGTAGAATCCTTGATTTTCTTGTACTAATGTAAAATATTTTTTGAAAAGAGATAACAAGAAAAATGGAACCCATTGTTTCCTCCCCAGGAGAGAAGCCTGAGGCCAAAAAGACCAGGCTGGAAGAGAGAGGTTTCACTGGATAATTTCTGGAGATTTTGATGAATG